TCCAAAACGCCGCAGTTGGGGCGTGGCGTGGCATGGCATGGAGTGGCGTGGCGTGGCGTGGCGTGGCGTGGATGGAACAGTGGCGTATACTGGTATAACTCAGTCTGTAGTGTAGCTTCTCGAGTGCGAGTGGGTGGTGGGGAGCACAGTGAGAAGGGATGGGCTAGTCAAAGTAGGCTGGTTGATGGACAAATGAAATGAACGACAGACTGTAGGAGGTTAGACGACTGACTGACAACTCTATACATGCCAGCCAAATATGCAACCAAGGTGGCACACCAACGACGGATAGAGAGAGGGCGAGAGAGAGAGAGAGGGAAGCACTGTTTTGGTCTGTGCAAAACGGGATGGTTGTGGTTCTTTGCTCACAGTGGTGGCACGGAAGAACGAATACAACCCATTCAGGAATCCCTTATGCATGCGTGATCAGTTCAGTTCAGTTCAGTTCAGCTCAGCTCAGTTCAGTTCACTTTTGTTCAGTTCAGCCAGTCGTCAATATGTGAAATGCATAATTTACGTGCTGATTTGCACCATCTGTCCCGTCTAACACCGGAGGACTCCCGAAGGGAGAAGGCGGACAGCTCATTCTCACTCAATCTCAACTCATGCATCTCCGTTTGCCCCCGCTTCCAATCCTATCCCCACTCCCAAACACATCCTTTTCTCCTACCCCCCTACCCCTCCCTCCCCTGGCTCATAAGTTTTGTTTTGTCATTCCAAATTAGCAATTCGTTTCTATCCACTCCAGGCTAGGCACTCAAACGAATCGAGAGGATGGTCTAAACGTGGGTTTAGATTTGTTCTAAAGTAAGTGTGAAAGTATGCGGTCTGCCCGTTTCCTCTGCAGGCATTCAACTATGCGATGGAGCATAATCACAGCCAGGAGTTTAGACAAACACATCCGTATGAAATTCACAAACAAACAACTCTGCTGAAATAGTTGGCACTAAAAATACTAGAATATTTTGCGTACAGAACAAAACAATGGGACAAAGTTAAGCGATATAGTAATAAAGGAGGTTCTGAAATTTCAGCAGTAAAATAGTAACCACCTGGGCAAATGCACTGAACAACTTTTGATGTTGTTCTATAAAGAACACAAGCCTATGGGTATAAGAAAAATGAGCTTAGAAGCTAAGGCAAACAGAAGTATTCAAAGACCTCAGTTATTTTTTCATCACATAAAAGACAGTCAGAGATAAGGGGCATTCGCAATACACACCGTATCATTGTTGACTGTTCTTAAATGTTTCCCGTTTTCTTTTCCTTAACACCATCCTTGATTTGACATTCTAGCGGATTGCCAAAATCCGATCCTAAGACCTAATGGTGTTTTTCTTACTACTCTTAGACAAGATTATGAATTGATCTGGTTACTGGTTATCTTCGTTACGCATTTGATGACCGAATCAGATACCACCGGTGGAACTTCAATGACACACTGGTCAGTTACCAAACGTACATGAAAGCCAACTCCGCAGTGCGTCACTATCCTCAGTGTCTTCGGAATGATCGTCACTAACTCCGGATTAAAATTTATCTATCCTTTGCGAAGGAATCCCAGATACATGCACATTATGCGTCTGTCTTTTTATTGTTTTACATCCGTAAAAATTCCCCTGCATCAGATGAGGTGCAGCTAGAACCTCTGGTAGCTTGGTTGATGCCTCGCGGATGAACAACACACTGTTCAGCGGAGAGAAACATTTGCATGGAAAGCATTGTTTGCCCTCTCTGGCAGGACACAACATTTCCAATCGAATGTGCTGTTCAAGGTCAATCCAACCATCGTCACCCAATCGGTCCCACGCGATCGGCTGCTGTTCTGTCCAATCACCACGTTAGGGCGTTTATAGCTCGATAAAGGCAAATCAAAATTTGTACAGTCCACTTTTAGAAAGGAAAAAATTGCCAATTGTAGGTGGTCAAATTATTCTGTAGTTTTCAGATCCGAAAAAGTGACCTCGGAGGCAATGCAAAGCTGACGGACACCGCTCAACTCCTGGGGTTGGCTATGTTCGGTGCAACTGGTCACTGTATACTCATTCACTCGTGCGTTTGTTTGTGTTTGTACGTATGTGACTGAAGCAGCGTATCTGTCTGTCTCCTCATCCCTGTCCACGTTCAGCCAGACACGTTTCGAACATCCGGAATCAGATCGAGTATTAATCGGTCGTATTTTTTCTGTATGGTATGAAGAACACCACAGTATTGTGCAGTAATTTATATAAAGCATAATATTGGGAGTTGCAGAATTCGTTTGCATTTCATGCTATAGAATGAGTATGTCTGCTTGGGAGTTTGAAAAGAACATTTATTGAATAAACGAATTCATCACAGTTTAACTTGAAACTACCCGTTCTTAGTGGTGTATTCACTTGGTTCAATCTGGGTTTGAAGATACACATCTAGGTTGCATGATTTGTGCCAAGACATTTCGATGCATCTCAACTGGTACAATACGACAGAACAGTTCATCAGGTTACGCAAGAATACGACAGGGACGAATCCCCACACTTTTACCACTGTCAAGGTAGTTATAGTGTGACTGACAGTTCTTTTTGCACACACACACACAGACCAGGTTTTCATTTCCTAATCGAAAGTGACTCCGCAAACCTAAGCAGCCGAGGGTTAGTTTTAGCATAAATGATCTTAAATCGGCTTGTCGGGTCAGGACAAAGATTCATCATCAACAGATGGTGAGCGATGGATGACACAAGCTAGCTCTGTGGGTTTGAACCAGTTGCCAGGATGCTAACACATACTTCTCTGTAAGCTCTCCGCGGATTCCCAACTCTTGACTGATCAGTGGAAACGGTTCACTGATTTGCTCTAACGAGAGTGGAAGCATGTATTGGTGCTTCCTAAGTGCACGAGTTATCAGACCATGGGGTATAATGTTGCATTGTGAACAGCGCGTACTTATCATATGGGATAGCAATCTCCCGTGATAACCGACAAACAATACAGATTGGCTTGTTGCTTCTCCCCAATTCGTACCTTTTGCACCCCCCTCCCGCGCTCTTAGGACTTTAACCACCAACCTTGGCATGGGAACTCGAAACCGTTTGGATTGAAAACGAGCACCTTGATTGATGGAATAAATTAAGTTTGATTAAGTTATTTGTAGAATGAGTTCGTTTGAACTCACAACGATCAGGCGATGAGAATGAGAAGAACATCGTACACATCACCCGGTATCTGTTAATTCAAATGGGCTCATTCAAACACAACATTCTAGAGAATGGCGAAAAATACTTATAAAACTTATTCGGACTTAACCAGTGTCTAAATCTATCGAATTTCCGATGAACTTGTCTAAATCCGCAAACCTACACTCGGGGAAGAGAATCAGATGAAGCTTTTGGCAAGTGAAACAGACCGGGGTGGGGGGTAGGGAAGGAGGGACATTTTGTGCGAATTTGTGGCCATGGGAGAGACGCACAAAGTCGTAAAATGTGACCATTCAGTCAGTCGGATTAGAATTACTCATCCCCCAGGTAAAAAAAAAAATCAGGAAATTTTATGATATATTTTGTCGCTTCAAGATGTAATTCCATGTCTGGCAAGATGTTGCAATATGACTTTCTCGACAAATTGAGCACAAGTGACGGAAAATATATGAAGAGTCTGTGTGAATTGATCAACTCCAATGGAAATAAACTTGCACCGAACATCTTTAAATTCAAAACCCTACCGATTTCCGACCAGAGACTTGACAACCTTAACTCAACAATCTTTTATTTCGTTTGAACGCTCATTAACAACTATTCAAAAGTGTTCTTCGAAACAGACTAATTTCGTGGAAGATTCCCATAGGAATATCAAAAGCCAAACAATATGGCGAAAAAGCTTGTTTTTGTAACTTCGTCTTCAGGCCTTCACAGTTATGTATGCGTGTTTATATCTAATGTAGAAATAAATGTGATTAGACCATAGAGGTTAAGTATGAAAATACAACAATGTCTATCAAGTTTAATCCGAGGGAGTGGATAAAATGGGGACAGTGGGCGAAGGGGAGAGGGGGAACGTCAATTCTGGAATTTTCGGTGACCTTTCTTTTCACGTGCAATTTGTCAAGCCATGTTGCATCATCACGACATGACTGAGGTCATGGTTCGGGTCATCACGTAGGTTTGGTTGGAGACAAGGCAGCTGAAGTGTGGCAACCATCTTCTTCTGTATGCATAGTGGAGGGTTCATGATTTTGATTGCTACAGATTCCACTGTTGCTAAGTGACGTTTCCGAACTTGCTTCCATTTGTTTTGGGGTACTTTGTGGATGACTTTGAATGCATCGTTGTTTGGCTGATGCCCGGTATCATCGAGGTGGGCCATGATCGCACTGGTTATTGTTTTCTTGCAATTCATTCTCAGCCAAGCGGGTTTATGTTCTCTGATCCCTTGGGAGGACTGCCTCATCGTTCGTCCTATATAACTTGCTGAACATGTGCAAGTGAAGGAATAATTAATCATAGATGAGGAGAGGATGGACAGCTCATCCTTGAGGTTTGTGCAGAGCTGAGCCTGGCTCACTTTTCATCGTCCAACCATTCTTCAACTGCCCTGTAGGACTTCACTCTTTTCAGTCAATTCCAGTTCATAGGGATCTTTGGAGTAAAACACTTTTAATGATTTTTGATTGTTAGCCGAGTCATTCTTAACATTGTTATTCGTGTGCATCGGTACATGAGGTCCCCAATTCGAACCTCTCCCCGTAGACCAGCTTATTTTGAATGTGGGCAAGCCGCGATGTCGGCTGATTCCTAATCTATGCGACGCCTACTGAGAATGGTGGCAGTCAACCTTTATGCATCCTCAGAATCAATGCGCTAGTCACCCACTTCACTTGCTTAGCTGCGCATTACGTTTGAACGTATCTAGTAGTTTAGGCCACGGTTAAAGTATAAAAGTTAAATTTACGAAAAAGCCTCCGAAGAGCTTGCAAATTTACAAGGATATACCTCAAAGTTGATTCTTCTGGAAAAGCAATCGGTTCATTATTACAATGTACTGCAATTATATATCAATCAGTGGTAAGAATATGGGGAATTTATACGGTCGCGTGCACCAATCCAGTGGTTCATTTCAAAATGTGCCCCAACTAAAATATCTTACTAACCACTCGGGAAAATCCATTTATCCGGTAAAACAACATCAAAACAAACGCGATACACATGCTGGTGGATGACACAGTTTCTAACAATTATAGGCATGCTTCATCCCTAATACTACTCTGGACTTTGAGCATTGTTTTTTGTGTTTTGCAGTTTCATGAGTGCATATGTACGAGAAGAGTGACAATGCTTGTCGTAACTATCTTCCAGACTTTGGTAGCTGCTAAGTGTTCAGTACAAAAACACTTCCCCAAAGTCGTTTTAATTGTCCGATTTTGTGTCTAGTGAATTGATGGGGAATCTTCACAACTTCCAGGAATACTATGTTTTCTTGTGACAATCTCCCTTCAAACCCTAATGTTCAGTATTTACGTTTTCACTTGGTATAGCGCTAAAGAGAAACGTTTGAAGAAGGATGCTGGACGACATTTGTGGGCAATTTCAAATTCCGTTCTGCTTGACGCATCCATGGACACACTTGGTGCGTTCCGCAGTGGAACCGCTCGGGAACTCGGTGAACATGAGCCGTCGTCGAAACGGCTATCCGAAACTTATAGCTTCGCGGATGATTCAATCAGTGGGGATGGTTACACGTCACGTGACGATCTGCAACAAGACGGTTTGAGTAAGCATTAAACCGGTTAACTTGTTCGAAAGATCGGGATTTTTCATTCCTTGATACCCTATCATTCCGAATCTGTTCCGGCCGTCCGCTTACCCTTTATTTTACTCGCACTCTCACAATTCACAATAGACTGGGGAACCCAACAACTAAATGTGTACCGTTTTATTAGAAATAATAGGATACCTTGATTCCGGAATGAGTAGTTATATAGGAAGAAACCGGGTCGGAACACCATGGGTTGGTTATGAGTTTATAAATTCATTTGAACATTGAAGGCAAGACAGATAATATTAGAACCGCTGCAAATAGTTTTCTATGAACAGTGAAGTGAATAAGGTGTGGGTAAATTCTAATAATTTGTACACGACACTGTATACTTTCTACAACGTTCAACTCTTTTTTTACTGAAGGGAACAAAAAAGCAATTAAAAGATATTGAAACAGAACAACAAGTAGCATCAAATGGATTGATCGAAACCAACCAGCAAAATAAGCCGTGCCCAAAGAATACGATGAACAACCAATAAAAAATAACCACATAATAAAAATATTCCACTCAGCTTCCTACACAAGCTAATGGAAATTTGTATATCTAACCAAATAACCACATTTGGATTATCATCTGGGTTGGCGATGAAACGTTTGCAGACAAATTGCCAAGCTTGGTGAGCAGACAAAATTGACTATATCTATTCAATGAGTTTCACTATTATTATTATTATTATTGCTCACTGAAAACAAAGCACCTACTAATTATGATGGGCTGTCTTCCTTCGTAATACATACATACGTCTTCAGTCAGATGTAGGTGCAATAGATACTGTCAGAAAATTCCATATTTCGCTCGCTCTATTCCTCGTTTAATCAACTAACTTGTGCTTATTTTTTGGGGGGGTCTGCATTGGGACTTACTCAATGCCCATGATCCTAATGATTGATCCGATTGAACAAACCCGTTATAGACAACAAACAATGCGCGTTTGATACAATAAAGTTTTAGTCATACAAAGTTTCATCATCCCTTGACAGCTTAGCAGGTGCAGTGAGACCAACCGAAGGTTCTGAGTCAATTGATATTTGGATTCGCTGAGCGGGCTGTCGATTTTCAAATCTAATCTTAAACATTTCCTTCCTCCGATTAAAATTGACCAATGGGGAAACTTATGGATGACTAGGTGATCTTTGAGGATGCTGTTTGAAGTTGACTGTGTTGAGTGAAAATTAAAAGAAATTGGACACTAATAGAAAGTAAGGTACCGCATAGGCAAGACATTTTGGCGATGAACAACACGGTTGATATTGGAAGTATTCCCTAATTTTATATGATAGGACTGGAGGATTTGGTTTGTTTATCTGACGAATTCTTCGTGGGAATTAGGCGTGCTTTCCAGCTTTTATGCTCAGGTCTAATGAAATTCAAAAAATTATTTACCTTTTTCCGGGTGACCGACTGGTTAGCATGCTTGCGTTCTGCCCGTGAGGTCCTGGGTTCAATCCCCAATGGGATTGATGGTTTCACACTGCTGATGAAACAGAACCACGTCAAAACACCTGTTCAGTGTGCCTCTTAGCCTTTCAGTTCACGCTTCTTTCGCTCTGTACACAACGAATTTCCCACTTGAAAGTCTATAATGTTTCAAATATCATGCAACGGTGAATGCTCCATACAATTTTCGATGAGCCTAATTGCTTGGACTCACTTCAGCTAGTCGGAACGGGGAGGCACCGAATTTCAGGTTGTAACTTCTTTTCTAATGATTCCTCATGTGATTGCAATGACTGTGTAGTTCTAAGGGAGCTGACAGACTGGCAATGCTCAAGGGTGCCCATGATAAAATCCACAAAAACAATTACAAATAATTTACTTTGAATCAACTAGAAGATATCTGTATATTAGAACTGCTGAAAGGAATTTAGATGTTGGAAAGGATTAAAAGTGACTTTTGCATAGTACTGGATGATCTAATACTAAGCGTAAGGCAATAATCGATCACGTTAACCGAGTAATACATGCATTTTTCTTTTACTACAAGATGTAAAATAATTAAATGAAAACCTATAAAATCCAAGTTTAATATGTCCTTCATCCACCGTTCGGGCATCGGTGAGGTTTTCGTGTTCGTGTACACATTCTTCAATGAGTCAATTTTACCGGGATGTTCAAACATTTGGATAGTTTTCACTCTGTCGGTCACACATGTCTTATGTGTATGCCTCCTTGGATGATGTCAACAGATACATTTAAATTGTTGTTTGGCAGATTGAAGCTTTTATGTCGAGACTGAAAAGTTCAGTAACCTCGATGGGATTTGAACCCATGAACGGACGCCGACTACATCTTTGTACAGCGCACACTTTGCCAGCTGAGCTACGAGTCCACACCGATATATTTAAGACGAATAACTGCGGTCCTGACGCTGGGTACTCAGCTATATTGGTAGTTGTACAAATGTGGATACAAACACACACACTGAAAACTCGTGCTATGGAATTTCGTCGGGCGTACAGGAGAAAAGAGACGTGAAGTGCGCAGCTGTTTCGAACTTGGCAGGTCTCATCAGCAGTGCGGGTTCATCGAAACAACTGACAGTCGAACCAAGAACCTGACGGGTTAAACACAAGCTTACTGCGCGCTTCTAACAAACTGAGAAGTGAAGTTAGAGAGGGCGAACTTCTTGAAAAATGGGGATTCTGTTGATGGATTCAGTGGAGTACTTTAGTTAACGACAGAAAATGATGTGACATAAGATCATGAACAAAAAACACCAATTAGTTCACTAAGTACACCATACTGTTACCCTTACTGTAAACCCAAGCACTCGAAAGAAACGAACAAATTGCTTACCTTTTCCTAATATCTGATCTCTCTATCTCACCCATCTCTCTCTCTTCCTTGCTCAAACAAGGTGACAACGACAGCCTCTACTCAGAAGATCCGGATAACAGTGGCGAGTCAGAACTAATCACTGGTGCTGATCATCTGATGCCGGACAAATACAGCCAACCTCTGACTCCAAATGACGCCTCTTTGGAAGCCAATCCGAGCGCGATCGAACAAACCACAAACAGTTGTCACACCTCAGCTGACCTCGGTCCGCGTTGGGCTACGCACACTTTGAAACCCATTTGCGGCACACGAACACCTGGAACATCGGATCTCGATCCTCGAGGTACGGAATTACCGTTACCGGCATTTTTATCCCAAATGCACGGAATCACACAATCAAGCGATTCGATCAAACCGTACGGAGTAGGCTGGGATTCCGCGCAGTGCAAACCGTCGGTTCTCCTTCCGAATACCGGGCCCGATTTCTCGTTTGGTCAAACTTATCAACTGCCCAGAGTGAGTAGTCGAAATCTAATCTCATTGCCATACACCGATGGTTTGAATGGCACCACACCGTCAGTGAGTGAAACTCCATTAACTTCTACAAATACCGGTCTACCTGTCAAACCCTTCTCGCTTGCTCCGGTATATCCAACTGCGCCGTTCTGGAGTTCCGTGATTTGATGGCTCACATATATAGCTTCCGAGTTTGGTTGTTTTAACCTGCTTCTCTACATGCAATCCAGTTTGGACACTTTGTTATTCCAATACCTAACTGACCGACAGTACCTCCAATTGCATAATGATCATTTTTTCGTGTTGTGACCACTGAATGAATGTAGTGAATATATACCTATATACTACCGAGACTGGTGATCAAGTGTTTGTGTACATCCATTGGATTTGTGGACTAAAAGCTGACCATTCTTTCGAAGGGAACTCCTCTTCGTGAATAAAGTGTGTGTGTAATTTGGAACTATCATTTTGAATTGCATTTGTCTGTTCTGCGTTCTGCGTTCAACTTCTTATCTATTACCTTTCGTCACATGAAGTGTGCTGCTTATAATAATGAGTTCTATTATGATTATCATTATTATTATCAATATTATCAATAGAGAACCCGAAATTGCCTCATTTTGAGTCTCCTCGGGGAGTAAGTTTTCTCGCTATCGTTCTTTATATATAAATATATATATATATATATATATATAATACATGTAACCAATTAAATGCAATTGGCAAGTGTGCCACAGCATATGTGAAAATGTTTCAAATATCAACCAACGCTTAAGAGTCTTGCCACAGATGAGCCATTGAGGCTGGTTACCAGCCAAGTCAGTCACTGTCTCAAGCAATAGATGTTTGCTCTCTTAGGGAAGCCTAGAGCGTCCTACAACTACCAGTTATGAGATTAACATCTTCGTCGTTCTCACCCAGGTCATTCGTTGTCCACCTCGTGGCTGATTCAAGTTAGTGTCAGTTTGTCTAGATATAACATGATGAGGTGGTTGTTGGGCCGTAATCTGCAAGACATCGCAGCATCTGAATCGAGGTGACGACATTCAGAGAATGACTAAAACGGTCTGAGGCGAAGATCCTTCGGCGAACCTCATTATTGGCGATCGGCTTTTGTTAATGTATTCTGGGGATGCAACAAAGGCAACGGTGACCAAAGACACTTGGTGTCCGTATGTCTTGCACGTGAAGGGACCAGCTCTCACAACCCTAGCGTAAGACTGAGGGGTATCTTAGCATTGTGAACGCGGTAGTTCAAGGACAGAGTAAAACTGCATGGACGCCATAAACGATGTAGGTTAGCAAAAGCTACCTGGGCCTTGTAAATACGCGTTGACATTTCTTTTGAGCTGAAACATCTTCCAAGATGACGATTCCAACGACGACGACTCCAACTGGTCGCTCATGAGTTTGAGGATTGGTGTAGCCTCTTGCCAGTCTTGTAGTAAGTAATACATAATACTTTTTTGACTTTCATCAGATAACTTTGTCAATCATCAAAGCTAAATTTCAGCAACCTAATGAATTAGAATTAATGTATACGTGTAATTGCTTTTGGTGCCCTAGACTATTCACGACTATATTTTTGTTTTGCCCGTCCAGTCTTACGTAGAAGCACAGAAACCGCAGAGCCATAAGATAGTAGTCCTAGATTACAAATGAATTCTGAAGTTTCAAACGAATTTCCGTGATGTCACATCGTTATGCACATTCTCCCGATCGTGGCCAGTGATACGGATGGTTGTAATAACGGTATTTTAGGAAGTATTGTCCACACTTTTGTCACACTTGAATACGGATGGTAAACCTTAAACCCCTAGGTAAATAAACGATGATAAGCTTACGCATTACCAACGCACACCGACTCGAATGTCACATCAGAATATGGATTTGAAGATAATAATAGACTCGGGGGTATTCTAGTTGCATTGTTTTTGGCATGACCAATATGACCAGTTGATTTTCTATTAGCCACCACATTCCGGTTTATATATATATATATATATATATATATATATAATATTGAAACAGTGGTGTTCCTCTCTCCCATCGGCAAGTATATGAGACCACTAAACGGTAAAAAACTGCAAGTTCGAATTCACAGTGGAAAATGAATGATATCGGCATCAGTCTAGTTAAGCATGTGTTCCAATACGATTAGTCAGATAGTATCGTTTGCCGAAAAGAGTAATGCGCACTGTCACTTTCATCAGTAATAACTAAACATGTATATATATGTTTCCTTGACGGTAAACATAACACAGTCGTCTGTGCGCAACAACTTTACAGCTGAATGCTTACCAGACACAGAGGATCAAATGAGCCACGCGGAGCCATCGTATAAAGTCAAGCTTAAGCTGCTTTATTTGCGACGGACTAGTTGTTGAACGTGTCGTTCAAAGTTAGCAAATAGAATAGGTGTTCCGCAATACGAGCTCCGGGGAACCTGGTGATTATGCACGTATACTACACACCAGGACCATGTATGTATTCTCTCCTGAAATCACTTTCACCGCTATCAGTTCGCCAATGGGAACAAAAAGTATTCGTTCTGAAAAATGCTTAAAGGGACTATTCAGATGTGTAAAAAATACCTCCCGTCTTGCGCAAAACAGGGAAAGATCCTGCAAACTAGTTTCATCTGTTCGGTTTGTCCAATAACTGTTGGAATCTTTCAGTATGTGGAGCTGATTTGGACTTATAAATTATTTAAGGTATTCGTTTTCTGACGTCTCTTATTTTGTGACACATAATCCAGCAGGACTTTTGCGGTTCGTTCCAATATTGGATATTATACCGCAAATATTGCCCATTTAATGCAATGTAATCCTAACTTGTTTTTACTATAGATTGCTTGGTTTCGGAGGGCTCATATTGCGAAATACGTATTTCGTTTGTTGACTGTGAGCGACTCGTGGGCATTACGATGAACTGCCTTCAGGTTATATTCGCCCGCAGGGACTGTCTGCAACAAATTTGTATGTTAAGGGCTCAAAGTTAAGCATGCTTCCCAAGACTACTATATTACACCGCCGTATGCTGTGCTTCTTCAACACTACAACGTCAAATCTAAACGTGTTTTTACCACAGAACGAAACGACAACAAGTGTTTGCTATTAAACCTAATCTCAAGCTCCGATGAAGTGTGGAAAGCGAGACAACTTCCTGAATCAGTGGATCACCACCAATATTGTAAATAAAATCTAGTAGATAATGTGGAGAACCCGATAAGAAGAACTAGTTTCCAATGGTCCGTAAGTAATTCGGTTTGGATTTGTTCTTTCCATTCAGTGAAAACATGCATGAACTGTATCATCCGTGCTATTATTCTCAGAAAATCTTACCAGAGTCTATGTTGTAATCAAGGCGTAGATACACACACGTGTGCACAGGTGAGAAGCACTCACGCATCAGTACTGGATTCAAGGCAAGCAAACATTAACACTGATTGTCTGTCATTTAAAAAATGTCTGTCTGCAGCAATGAAACTGAGGTTCCGACTAGTTTCGTTTTATAAAATGACTATTTTGAGGTTCCAGATAATTTTATCATATAGATGTATTGTATCTCATTTTCTGGGCACAAGTTTATAAATTAACTGACAAAAGATTACATGATACTCATGCCTGACGACGGGCAAGAACTGCGAAACCGATTGTGTGCATGCAGGGAAATTTTGTCAAGCCATTCACATGATACTTATTGTAATATAAATATATTCGAAAATTCCAATCCTTCAATAAATGCCAAAGCACGAATGTGTATTGGATAAAATAGGCTGAAATAATAAAAGCGTTTTGAGTGTTTAGATGTCTATGTATGACAGATAGAAACATTGGAACACCCGTCTCAGGAGAATACACATAACAATCCTAAGAAGTCATGTTTACATGTGGATCAGAACTCCACAGAGGATTAGAAAACGAAATCCGGCAGTCAGTCAGTCAATAGAATCGGTGTGCCGAAAAATAAACGGAGGAAAAATTTCCACGGATGTATGTATATACGGCATACACACAAGCGAATCTGTATATCGCTGCTTTGCACATTGGAATGATCAAAATCATTGAAAAAGTATCGAGACAATGCAGAAACGGGATGGTTGAAACAGCAGATGACACAAATCTCATCGGCCTGACTGAAAATCCATAATACTTGAATTAAATTTTGCATTTTGTACTCTTCAATATTATTAGTATGTATATCTATGGCATGACAACCGTGAAATTTTTTATCCTTTCTGACTTCTAGCTTTTGTTGGCAAATGACAGAANAATTCATCAAAGTTCGATCGGTGCCAGAATTATTGGCTTAACGCAGGGGGTGATGGGAATGTGAGAAAATAACAGATAGGGATAGGAGAAATTGTGTGCAACCGATTTCAGTCTCCAAGTTCTTACCACGTTCTCACTACGTTTCAAGTGATTTGAAATTTGCACTGTTCAAGCTCTCGTCGGACGACGGCTCAAATAGAAAGCAATAAAATAATTTAAATTTGGAAACATGGTTGCAATAGGTAATCATATAGTATCAGTTAATTGGATCATTGCCAGTGAAACAACGGATCAGTTTCCCGAGAAGCGTTCAGGTCTCAGATGATTCTCCCCAAAGTCTTCCAACAAACCGGTGAGCTCTAAAACTACTAGAGATGGTTCGAAATCACTTACCCATCTGTTGAATCTTTGAAACGCCATATTGAGCCTCGTCTTGCAGATGTTATATGCATCCAAATAAGAAACCCTAACTCATTTCAATCCTAGTGAACTGGATTGACAGAAATTAGTTTTTTTCACCTGGCAAGTGGTACTGCAATGAGGCATTTGCAACACGCCGGTAATCTAAGGAAGCTACAATATACAGTGGTGTGACAGAAATTATTCTGGAACGATACCTGACGTATGTTTGAACATGTGCACCTTTGCTATGTCAGAGGCTAAGTTTCACTATTTGACGCAACCGAATATCTGTTCCCTTTGCAAATTGACATTCTACCCCGTAACTACTCATAGGTACTATCATGACAAAATAATTAGTGAGAACAGAAAGTATTTGTATTTGTATAGACTTTTGCGAGAACAGAATGTTTGCATTTCAGTCAAAAATTACACATCTCATCAATAGAAGGAAAGATACAAGTAAAATATTTAGCCTGTAAGGTTACTGAGAAA